TCGAGTCATCAGGACAGTTTTGAGGAGAGTAACAGCCCTCAGGACAAAAGTGTCTCTCCTCTCTGTCCCCTGTGTTCTGCAGCATCACAGCATCCTTCAGGGGGTGGCAGGTTTCGGTCGGTGATGAGACGGAACATTCCCTGCAAGTGTTTCCTCGGGGGACGTCTTCTGATGAATGAAATCTGATGTATTGTGGTAAAAGGTCTCTAACATTTAGCATGACTGGCATAGCGATCTTCAAGCAGGATCGTCATGGATACAGGAAAAGCAAACTGCTAAAATCACACAATCCAAATTATCTTTATTGAACATGTTAAAGACACAATAAGACGAGGAGAAAAAACTATTACAACCCAGTTTCCAGGACTCAATGGAGAGTTAGATTTCTGCCCCTTCATTTAAAACCACGAACTTTAGATGTGCTATCCTTTTTTTTTTACACCTTCGTCTCCATGAAACTGTTTACAAATTATACATGTTGTACCTGTAGCACTTTTGTATTTTTTGCACTATATATATATTTATACTATGCATTTTTCTATGTATTGGTTGTTGGGAATTGTACTATTTATATCTTGTATCTATTATATCTTATCTTAAATAGCTTGTAACTGAAATCTGTTCAGCCTACATGTCCCATCATGCACCAGGGGACTGAGGGCAAGCCCACTGTGAACATGTGACCTACACCTATGACTTTAAATCTGCACTGTGATAGACATCTGGAGTTTGAAGATCGAAGGGCCGAAATGCGTTGGTGTGATTTTAACTTTATCTGCCATGTGGTATTGAAGCGTTTTTATTATTTTGTACTTTTTGAGTGCCTCGGTTTTTTTAACTTTGTATTTGAGACTGGTCGCTACACTGAAGAACACTGAAAGGACAATTCTGCACAATCTCTGTATATCCAAGTAGGCACTCCTACCCCTGAAAGTTTTGTAATCTTTATCTTTTGTCATTTAAACTGCACAAGCTTTTCACTTCTTAGTTGGTTAAAATTATAAAAAAATTTGGTTAAAAATGTAACACAAAAATTTTAGAAGTTGACAAGACCATGACAACCACAAAAAGTACAGCATGTAACTTTTGGGGGATGACACCCACCTGCATAATTCCATGGAAACAGAAAGCTAAAACCGTACTTCGAAACATTCTCCATGAACATAGATACGTTCTATGCCGTACTTTGGAATATTATAACCAAAGGAATAACATTTCCATGGAAACAAGGAGGAGAAGGCCCTCCTCCAGCAGACCAAATAAGAGTCAGGTTTGTGGAGATGCGAGCCCACTCACAGTAAGGAAGCATGTTTTTTGGGGGGGATTTTTTCAGTGCAGTGAACACAACCAAACTGAAAAAGAAGGTCTAATTTTCAGAAAAAAATTACATACTGTGGCTTTAAGATGCATTATATGATAGTGTAAAAACAGACAGATTAAACCAACTTTTTACTGTTTCTTCAGGATTTATTTTTCACTAATAATGAGAGAAGGAAATTGCACATTTTCTATTTTTCTCATTAATACTGTGCAAGTTTGTGATCCAGTACTGCCTTTGATTTTAGGACAGTAACTTCACATTAGTTTCTGAACACGTATTTCCTGCACATATTTAGTTCTTCCCGACCTTAGTTATTTGAGATTGGAAATGTCATGGTTAAGAAATAAATCTGTATTATAGCACACAGACAGTTTTGTGGTGATGGTGGGAGGAAAACCAAGAAACCAGTGGTACTTTACCAGTGGCAAAACTGAGCTCGCGTCTCTCATTTCTGTCTCTCTGTTCTATTTGGTTCAGACATGGTAATTCTTGGTCTTGACTTGGTTTAGTCCTGGTTCAGACCTACTAGTTCTGGTACAGATCTGGTTTAGTCTTGTTCTAGGCGTAGTTCAGACCTGGTTTAGTCCTGGATCAGACCTGGTTTAGTCCTGGTTCAGATCTGGTTTAGTCCAGGTTGAGATCTGGTTCAGACCTGGATCAGTCTCGGTTTAGTTTTGGTTGAGTCCTGGTTTAGTCCTGGTTCAGTCCTGGTTAAGACCTGGTTTAGTCCTGCTTGAGGACTGGTTCACTCCTGATTCAGTCCTGGTTTATTTTTGGTTCAGACCTGCTTCAGTCCTAGTTTAGTAATAGTTCAGACCTGGTTCAGACTTGGTTCAGTCCAGATTCAGACCTGGTCCAGACTCGGTTTAGTTTGGGCTGAGTCCTGGTTTATTCTTGGTTCAGATCTGATGTAGTTCTGGTTCAGTCCTGGTTTAGTCCTTGTTCAGACCTGGTTCAGTCCTGGTTTAGACCTTGTTCAGACTTACTTTAGTCCTGGTTTAGACCTGGTTTAGTTCTACTTGGCACTTACATGACTTGGTTGAGTCTTTGTTTAGATCTGGTTGAGACTTGGTTTAGTTTTGATTGAGTCTTGGTTTAGTCCTGGTCCAGGCCTTGTTTATTCTTGGTTCAGACTTAGTTTAATCCTGGTTCAGACCTGGTTTGATCATTCTAAATTGAGATAACTTACATTTAACAACTTAAGTTTCAAAATAAATGTGAAATACTTTTAATTTTGGATTTTACTGCATTTACACTATATCATAAAAAAACCAACAACAACAAGGCAACATTTTGATCTCATATTTCCATCCGTGACTTCTCCCTAATATTTTAATCTTTCTTCAAACATGCACTTTCGCCTTTTACACTCCTGACCAAAACCCTGAGAGTTTGGGTCAAATGCAGAGAAACGAGGAGGAAAAAGGAAAACAAAATGGCGGATTTGTCGACTGTGCTTCTTTATTTAAACCAAAGCCAAAGGTTTGACACAGTGTGAAAAGCCGTTAGAACATTTTGAACGATGAGACGTCTCTACAGAGGTGTTATTGTTTTGTCTGTAATGTTCCATAGTACCACATTAAGCTCACGTATCCCCATGGAGACAAGCAGGAGCCAGGCCCAGCTGTAAGTCAGATCTGTGGAAAGGCCTCCACGCTTACAGTAACATTTCATGTTTTTTAAGGATTTTTTTTTTCTCTCATTTTAAGATCTGACTTAGAGCTGGTCCTGGTTCAGACTTGGTTTAATCTTGTTCTAGACGTGGTTCAGACCTGGTTCAGTCCTGGTTCAGACCTGGTTCAGTTCTGGGTTAATTCTGGTTCAGACCTGTTTTAAAATTGGTTTAGTCCAGGTTCAGAGTCGGTTTAGTTTTAGCTGAGTCCTGGTTTAGTCCTGGTTTAGGCCTAATGGTTCAGACTTGGTTTAGTCCTGATTTAGTCCTGGTTCAAACCTGGTTCAGTTCTGGTTCAGACCTGGTTTATTCTTGGTTCTGACTTGGTTTAGTCCTGGTTAAGACCTGGTCTTTTTAAGCAGCTTTTCTGTATTTTACCTAAACAAGTGACAAAATATGCCTCAGTTTACTGTTGAGGCAGGCCTGGTTTATTCATGGTTCAGACTTGGTTTAGTCCTGATTTAGTCCTGATTTAGTCTTGGTTTAGACCTAGTTCAGAGTCCTGGTTTAGTCCTAGTCCAGACTTACTTTAGTCCTGGTTCAGACTCGGTTAAGTTTTGGTTGAGTCCTGGTTTAGTCCTGGTTCGGGCTTGGTTTATTTTTGGTTCAAACTTGGCTTAGTCCTGGTTCAATCCTGGTTTTGTCATAGTTCAGATCTGGTTCAGCCTGGTTCTGTCCTGGTTTAGACCTAGTTTAGACCTGATTCAGACTCACTTTAGTCCTGGTTTAGACCTGGTTTAGTGCTAGGTCAGACTTACTTTAGTCTTGGTTCAGATCTAGTTCAGATTTGGTTGAGTACTGGTTTAGTCCTGGTTCAGACTCAGTTTAATTTGGATTGAGTCCTGTTTTATTCTTGGTTCAGACCTGGTTTAGTCCTGGTTCAGATTTGGTTTAATTTGGATTGAGTCCTGTTTTATTCTTGGTTCAGACCTGGTTTAGTCCTGGTTCAGATTTGGTTGAGTACTGGTTTAGTCCTGGTTCAGACTCAGTTTAATTTGGATTGAGTCCTGTTTTATTCTTGGTTCAGACCTGGTTTAGTCCTGGTTCAGATTTGGTTTAATTTTGGTTCAGACTCGCTTTAGTCCTGGTTCAGACCTGGTTTAGCACTAATTCAGATTTACTTTAGTCTTGATTCAGACCTGGTTCAGATTTGGTTCAGTTTTGGTTGAGTACTGGTTTAGTCCTGGTTCAGGCTTGGTTTATTTTTGGTTCAGACTTAGTTTAGTCCTGGTTTAGATTCAGTTTAATTTTGGTTGAGTCCTGGTTTAATCCTGGTTCAGGCCTGGTTTATTTTTGGTTTAGACTTATTTTAGTCCTGATTTAGACCTGGTTCAGATTCAGTTCAGTTTTAGTTGAGTCCTGGTTTAATCCTGGTTCAGGCCTGGTTTATTTTTGGTTTAGACTTATTTTAGTCCTGGTTTAGGCCTGGTTCAGATTCAGTTCAGTTTTGGTTGAGTCCTGGTTTAGTCCTAGTTCAGGCCTGGTTTATTCTTGGTTCAGACTACGTTTAGTCCTAGTTTAAGGTATTTTTCTCTCATTTTGGATTAGCCTGTCAGGAGGCACGCATATGATTTGCTTTTTGTACTTTAACGCAAAATCAGAGAAGATAAAATCGTCGTTTCTCCATCACTTCGTAAGTTGTGAGGCAGCGGCAGAGACTGGCACGAGCCTCATGGTGGCAGCCATTATGCCACTGCTGATGATGATGATGATGATGTGGGTGAAGATGGAGCCGCGAACACTCTCTGCTTCTGGGGCGCTGCGCTTTTGGAACCGTGCGCCAAAACGCTCCAACCCAGACCGCTCCAGCCAGATAACTCGGCTCGGTCCCGATCCAGATCCGCGGCTCGGAGCAGTGTGGAGTGTGGAGTGGAGCTGGCCATGTTGTTGTTCCTCTCCCATTGTCCGCTGCCCCCGCTCGCGCCCCCCGCCGCCGGCTTCGGGACTTGTGATTGGCGGACGGGGGCTGCGCGTGTCGTCATAGCCCCAGTGCCCATTCATCAGTGGACTTGGGCGTTGTACTCCGCATCTCATTTGCGGCGGGGCCAATTTCTCCATTTACAAACTCCGCTCGGGAAAAAATAGCAACAATTCCCGTTTCTTTTGCGTCTTTAGCTTCGTTTTTGTGCGCGCTCCCACGTCCCTCCGCGGCCCCTCGCTGCTGTTCGCCGGATTCGGGCTCGGTGCGAAGACACAGCTGCAGAATCCTCGGTTGGAAGCTTGCGCTCTTTGTTCATTCATTTGATCGGTTGGCTTCCTTTGTTGGAGCAAAAGCATGGGAGCACAGACCTCCAAAGGCGCTGCGAAGGACGAGGCTGCCGGGGCGGAAGGAGCCGTAGTCGCCGCCAAAGCCAACGGACAGGTAACCGAGTGTGGACTGTGTAATGTGTCCCCGCGCGGTGTGGGCTCGGTGTGTGTCGCGACAATGGCGTGTGCTCCATGTCCACGGAGCGCATCCACGTTCACCGGCTCCAGCGAAAGTGCACGGCCACATGTTTGAGCTGAGTGAGCAGACCGTAGCCACAGCGGAGTTTACGTGTTTTATTGTTGCATATGAGCGTTTAGGCGTGAGGTTTGGGCTGTGCGGTCACTTTTCATTCATGGATGAAATGGTTAATTTGACCTGTTGTGCTGAATGAGGGCCGGCTGCAGCCCGGAGCTTTGTCCGCCTGTTGGGCTCTGTGGGGCCGTACGTGTGCTCATCCCCGCTCCCCCAGCTCCATTTGGGCTTTAGTGGACTCGGAGGAGCGGGTTTGGAGCGGAGGTGCGTGCAGCCGCTTCATGACTCCCTCAGAGGCATGGCCATTTTAAAAAGCACCACGCCTTTGTTGTCAGACTGAAGAAAGGAGCCACGTTTACTGCGCGCATCCTCCACACAGCTGTCACAGCGCACAGCAGAGCGGCGTGCGGTCGGAAATGGTTTCACACAGTCAGCCTAAGCCAACATTTAAAATGCTGTGGTTTTGAAATTTATTGATGAAAATTCCCAAATTGAGCGTGTTTCATCGACGCGCTCGGAGCGCCCTCTAGCGGGAGCCGGCGGCGCTGCGGCCAGACAGACTGGCCTACTGCTGAGCTGTGTCGTCACTGTCCTAGTAACAGATGTTACTGCAGTTTTCGGCCTTTTTCCTATTGGCTGCCAAGCCCAGGCCTCAGCCCTGCATCAGTGTGGACCAAATCATATCCTGTGATTACACATGGCTCTATTTCCAAATGGAGACATGGACTTTAGGCCTATATGAATAAATTTGGTCTTATTTGTAGATGATGTTACACAAGTGTGTCTTTAAAGCTGGATGACTCAGTGTGGCTCAGATGAAAAACTTTTTGTCCCAAAATGGGATTATGAAAAATGTATTTGAGGATAATTGTTCTTCAGTTGAGTGTAGAATATGTGCAGGGGTGTCTACAGTTGAGACGGGCATACAGGTGTTTCTTCAGCACGTGTTTCCACAAATATCAATTTAATCTTTATTAAGAACACAGGTTATGCGGTTGATGCACATCTGCATGTGTGACATTCATGTTCTAAACTGCTCACTGTCTCTGTCCAGGAGAACGGACATGCCAAGACCAATGGAGACGCGTCTCCCACTGCACAGGAGGCCAAGGACGTCCAGGCCAACGGCAGCACTCCCACTGAGGAGGCCCCCAAAGAGGATGGGGAGAAGGCCGAGGCCGCAGCAGAGCCAGAGAAGGAAGCCGCTGCTACCAATGGAGACACCTCCAAACCAGAGGAGGGCACCTCCTCCACTAGCGACGACAAGCAGAAGAAGAAGCGCTTCTCCTTCAAGAAGCCTTCCTTCAAGCTGAGCGGCTTTTCCTTCAAGAAGACCAAGAAGGAGTCTGAGGAGGCTGCGGAAGAGGGTGGAGCTGCTGCTGCGGAGGAGGGAGACAAGCCTGCCGAGGATGCCCCAGCAGACGAGACCAAACCTGCAGAGGCTGCTGCAGAAGAACCAGCTCCAGAGGCCAAAGCTGAGGAAGCCAAGCCCCAAGAGGAGGCCAAGACAGAGGAGGCCCCCGCAGAGAAGAGCCCTGAGCCTGCCCCTGCTCCAGCCGAGCCAGAGACGGCAGCCAGCCCCGAGACCCCCGCCCCGGCCACAGAGTAAACCCCCCAACCTGGAGGAAGGAGCAGAGCGCTGGAGGAGTAGAGCGCAGAAGGAAGGAAGGAATGGAAGGACTTGTCTAAAACCAGGGACTTTTTTTGTTTGTTTTCGTTCCCTGCAAAGACAAACATCTCCACGTTTAAATGACTCAAATGAACACGTGTCCATCTGGATTTCACTAGTTTAGATTGATTTACTACATCTGGAACTTTGGCTAGATTTCCTTCTTATTTAAAAGGCTAAATAATCTACCAATGAAACACTTTTTACCTTGAAATAAGAAATCAAAATCTTGAAATCAGCCTTTATTCTAGATCTAGTAAGAAAATAAATCTAGTCAGAACTCAAATCAAGATCGACACTGTGAATTCAAGTCATTTAAACCGCTGCAGATGTGCGTCTTTGCAGATTTGGTGTTCGTTTACTGTTGTCTCATCTTCAGAGTGACTGGCAGAGTGAGTGGATGGGCGCGTGAGTGAGTGGGTGCTGCGCCCGCGGGTGCCCTGCTCGCGGGTGCCCGGGTGAGCGAGCGAACGCATGAGTGAATGAGTGTTTTTTCTACATGAAACCATGATTGTGTGACACGTTGCTGAATTTGACATATTTAATCCAAGTATTCGGTGCTGGCCAATTGGATGTAGCAACAGAAGCGTTAAGGCACATGTTATATTTAAAAGGGAACTACCCGAGAAAAAAACCTGTCTTTATATGTTGTCTTTTCGCAGTGCACAGCCGTTTACAATTACCGCGCTCCCTGGACACGACTATATTGAACAAAAGTAGAGTTTAGTCCAAAAAAAAAAAAATCTGTAGGTGCTCGTTGCGTTACCGTTTAGAATCCACCATAGTGAGTACTGCACGCTGTATAGACTTTGATATTACCGGTTTTATGGCTGAGATGTACCTAAATGACTGATGTTTTTAACAGATGACCCATTGTAAATGACGTTTTCTTGTTTTTCACCATTTGTAAGATTGAATAAAATTGGGAGATGTTTTAAGCAAACCCTGGATCAAAATGTGGTGACTCTGCACTTTTGTAGAACTTGGTGTTGTAATCGTGTGGCTGGTTTAGGTGGTTAGAGATGGGCTAGCGCTTGGCTATGCTAGTTTTGTAGTTTTTTTACATTTTCATATAGGTTAGCACTTTTCAAGAACTATCGGTTGTATTTCTTAATGTTCTATGGCTCTGTTTTACTTAATATAATAGTGCAATTGGTAACACACACAAAAAAGAACAGTAATAATTTGATATTTATAATAATGATTCAAATTCTTAACGTTATTTAAGCATTGTGATCAGTTTATTTTAAAATAACTACTCCAAGTGACTTAGAAGCTCTTTTATGTCTTTAAAACTTTACAAAACTTCAAAATCTAACAGCAAACTGTTAAAATCCCACATTAAACTTCGCACTTTAAGACGCAGCTAAAATTGTAGTCCTTAGCTCGAGGTTTGCTAGCTTGTTTATCGCTAAATCACAACGCATACAAACGCCAACCCAATCTTTAAATCCCACCCCAAATGCATATATTTACATGTAATTAACCTACTTATTATCATTTTTTTTTCTCTCAGATGTGTGTTTATAACATGCAAAAAGCTAATTAACCACGAAAGTGACAGTACAAATAGTTTAATTAAGCTCTAGTATGCTAAATCAAAAACAGATAGCAACTACTTGGTTAATAATTTAAATCAAGAAGGTAAAAATAGCCAGATGTCATGTATTTAAGATTTCTGTTGTTTGCGATATTTTTAGGAGTTTTTCACAATTTAAACGTATAATATTTCGTTTTAAATTGTTAAATTTGCTGTGACAACCATCCTAATTTTACGTGACACCCATGAATTACGTTCCCTTATTAGTTGAATGTTAATATTTTATGCACAATTTGGATACTAGACATAATAATAGACCTATGAGAATTATTTAGCAGTACGACTGGAAATATTAAGAAGGGTGATCAGATTTTCCAAATAAAAAACTGGGATATCGCTTTTTTTTTTTCTTAGTAATAATAAAATTGTGAAACGAGTGCGTAATTAAGGAACATTTTTACGCACTCGGCACTAACGTGAGTCAGTATAGTCACATTTTCTTTGTGTTTTGGTCATTTTTAAGCAGCTTTTCTGTATTTTACCTAAAGAAATTACAATGTGTGCCTCTCCTTACTGTTGTCAGGTGTCAAATTGGTCAAAAATAGGGACATCTGGTACATTTTTTTGTAGAAAACTGGGACAAATCACTGGTTTTGGATACAGGGCTTAAACTGGGACTGTCCCGGGTAAATAGGGACGTCATTTTACGCACAATTTGGATACTAGACATAATAATAGCTAATAAACCACTGAGGTGTCCTATAAGAATTATTTAGCAGTAAAAATCGAAATATTTTAATAGCATAAGTCTTTTTATTGAAGAAAAGTGCGGTCAGGGGAAAATAGTGCGTGATCAGATGTTGCGTGTCCTGTTCTAAACGCTGGGATTGATGGATAATGGCGGCGCGCGGATGGATCTGGATGCGGAGTGGGCAGGGTGGTGAGGAGGAGGAGGAGAAGGGTGGTGGTTGGGGTGAGGAAGAGGAGGAGGGTGGTGGTGGGTGGGACCGCGCTCTCATCCCGAGCTCGGAGCGCCCTCATGCGGTCGAAGTGGAGATGGCAAGTGTCTGTCTGCTCCTCGAGAGTGATTTATGTGATTTATTTGATGACACGAGGTGAAACGCCGTATATTGCGATTTTCTACGCATCAAATTAAAGCCTATGAGTGAAAAAAGTGTTTAAAATTTGTAAAAAAAAAAAAAAAAAAAAGAACAAAGAACAAAATAAATAATAATAATAATCTTTAGTTTATTTATTTTACCATGAAAGACTTAACCAGGCATTTTTAAAGTTGGCAGTTCAAACCCTTGCAGCTCGAGTCAGTCAATGGTGGTTACTAATGTTGTGTCCTTGGGCAAGACACTTCATCCAGAGTCTTAAGTTACAATTTCTGGGTTCTTTTTAGTGAATTATTGAGATGGGATTGGGCTAGCATTTATTTATTTATTTATTTCACGAGAGAGTTAGACCACTAATTTTAAGATCGGCACTCCAAACCCATGCACCTCGAGTCAGTGGTGGTTACAAACGTGCTCTTGGGCAAGACACTTCACCCCGTGTTTGTAGCCGAGTGGATAAGTCCACTGGTGTAGGCTGTTTAATTTTTGTAGGTTTAATTTAAGATATGCTTCTCACTCACTGCATCCCAGAGCTTTAATGATTCATGGTGGGTGTAAATTAGATATTGTTAAAGCTGCACTATGTAACTTTTCTGGTGGAGGGTCGGCCACCTGCTTGCGTCCACGTACATGTCATTGATTAGTTGGGAATGTTTTATTATATGACATTAAAATGACCACTCTTGTATTTATTCAATTGTGTGCCTAGAATACCTTGAAAAAGTATACAGTCTTATTGTTTGTAGGGTTGCCTCTCCACAGATCTGACCTGTAACGTGGCCTGCTTGTGTTTATGTATACAATGCAAAAAAATAAAAAATCTAACCAAATTAAGATGACTTAAATTAAGAAAGTTTTATCATGATTTGAGTAAATTTCACTTGACAAGTAAAATAATCTGCCAGTGGAAAAAGAGTACTTAAATTATGAAAATACATCTTACTACACTTAAAATAAAAACAACAAGAACTTTTTGTTGAATCTACTCAGATAAAGTAAAATGTTCTTAATTTATGTTGTTTTAATTTAGCTGGATATTGTTTTTTTTTCCAGTGAAGGTAGTTTTGGTGTAGTAGTACACAGTAGTAGTATAGGTAGTTAATGTCATACTGTGAATTTTTCCAGGCAAAATCATAACATACCCATGAAGAAAAGTTGCTTAGTGCAGCCTTAAATTAGAATTTATTTAAGAATTTGGTTAATTATTTGTGTAAATTTATTTTGAAATTTTCTCTGGTGGATAAGGTTCAACGTTCATGGGTCTTAGATATTTCTTGACGGGCTTATATTATTTTATTTTCTGATCTATGTCCTAATGTTGTTTTTCCATCAAACAGAAAACACTCCGTCCCACCTTGTGATGTCATGCGGTAGTACAAGAAACGCTCCACCGTGTTTTTAAACTCCATGCACCTTCGCTAGAATCGTTTGGATAATTCCAGCCCTGGAATTGCCTCTGCGCTACTGATTAAAAGGTAAAAGGTAGCTGTTAACTGCAAAACTACCACTTCATGTAATGACATCACGAGGTGGAACATAACATTTTGAGCTTTGGAGATGTAGACAGAGTAATAATAAAGGATTACGCAAACACGTGTGAACGAAAACACAACTCCAAGTATGTTTCTGAGGAGGTAACAACTTTCTACAATGTTTTATTTTTAAGTAGGCTAATATAAGACTTTTAAAAACTTATTACCCGCAGAACAATACAACAATATATTCTGTTTTATTCTTTCCATTGTTCTCTTCTTGTTCGTAAACTAACCCATTATGAGCTCTTATAAAATCCAATTGACTTCCACGGAATTTACAAGTGTCTGTTCGCTCCACAAACACTATAATCTTCGCAGCTTTTCTTGCCTGGGTTTTTATTTCAAATTCATTGCAATTTCCAACAATTATCGCACTCGCTTTCTAAGATTCCCTCGACGCTGCCAGACTTCTGTATTTCGGGCCGTACGTAACCCGGGAACACCGTGCGCCGCAACGTAATTACGCGATGACATGAGGCGCGCGTAAATGACAGTGCGCAGGAACAAACATTTTTACGGCCGCGTCTAGGAAAACGAGCGCGCAGACGGTACATTAAGTGCGTGTTTCTTCCCGTAAAAAAACGCATGCTGGAGTTTTGCGAGTTGCAGAGATTGGAGTGGATATGGGATAATGCTGGAAGTGCCCGCAACTCTGCACTTTCGTAACCCCGTATTTCCTCCACACAGGCCAGATTTACCCCGGGTCACCGCAGCAGGGCGTGTTCACACAGAATCCGGCTATTTCGGCCCGCGTCCCGTCGGTATGTCCCTCTCGGTCAGACGCGCGGGTGGATGTCACATGTTAAAAAGGCCCCAGGGGTAACTGTATGCACTGATCAGGTTTATAAAAGCATACAAATTATCACGAAGCACACACAGGCCACTCCGCCCAGCTAAATCCGCATTTGTGAGGTTGTAAAATGTAAAGATTATTTTGGTGTTGTCTGAATTTATGACGAGTTTATGAGTTATTTGAGTGAAATTTAAATACTTTACGTTAGTGTTGTAGTCAAGTCCGCACTAATCGAGACCAAGACCAGTCCGAGACCACAGGGTCCCAAGACCAGGACAAGACCAAGACCTCTGAGGGCCAAGACCAAGACAAGACCAAGACCACGGCCCATCGAGACCAAATCGACACCATATTTGTAATTTTTGACATTTATTTGTATTTTAGTTATTATGGTGCATATATATTAATGTTTTTTTTTTATAAATCTATCTCCATTTTATCACTCGTTAAGTGTCATACCTTGAGACCAAGACAAGACTGAGTCCAAACGCCTTCAAGACTGAGACAAGACCAAGTCAAAGTGCCTTCAAGACCGAAAAAAGACAGAGTCCAAACGCCTTCAAGACAGAGTCCAAACGCCTTCAAAACCGACTCCAAACACCTTCAAGACTGAGACAAGACCAAGTCCAAACATGCCTTCAAGACTGAGACAAGACCAAGTCCAAACGCCTTCAAGACTGAGACAAGACCGAATCCAAACGCCTTCAAGACCGAGACAAGACCGAGACAAAAGCGCCTTCAAGACCGAGAACAGACCAAGTCCAAACGCCTTCAAGACCGAGACAAGACCGAGTCCAAGCGCCTTCAAGACCAAGACAAGACCAAGTCAAAGCATTTTCAAGATCGAGACAAGAGCAAGTCAAAGCATTTTCAAGATCGAGACAAGAGCAAGTCAAAGCGTATTCAAGATTGACACAAAACCGAGTCAAAGTGCCTTCAAGACCGAGACAAGACCGAGTCCAAACGCCTTCAAGACTGAGACAAGACCGAGTCCAAACGCCTTCAAGAGTGAGACAAGACCGAGACAAGGCAATCAAGTCAGGGCCTCTTGATGGTCCCAAAGACCTGATTTAAAACACGGGAAGACCTGCGCTTTCAGGCTGTGGCCCCCAAATAATAGAATAAGCTCAAGACACTGCTGTTTAGACAAGCTTTTAGTTGACTGTGTAATTCCTCTATTCTTGTTTATGTTGTTCATTGCACTTTAAAGCACTTTGTGATTTTTTATCTGTGAAAGGCGCAATATAAATAAAGGCTTACGTACTTACTTACTGACTGACTGACTTACTCACACACTTACTTACTGACTTGCATACTTACTTACACACTTATTTACTTATAAAGTGTTTTACTGTCCGATAATCAGGAGGTGCACCTTTAGCATTCTTTACCATGATGACAAAACTCTGTTCTGGTTTCTGAGAGTTGTAAAATGCGCTGTGCCAGCAAAACAAATCAGCTATTATTTGTAAGCTGGTTCTTTGCTAGGTTTCATTTTCTGGCTCCGTGTTGACCCCTGACTGAGCATAAAGTCTCTGAGACATATGTATAATTACACCAATAATTACACAGCTCCGTCGGTGTTCACAAAATAGATTCTGGACATTCCCGGAAGTATAAGGAATTATTTGTGTCCCTGTCTCCTTCTGTCTCTCCTTGTCTCTCCTTGTCCCTCCCTGCTGCATTAACCACATGTCTGTAAAAGCGCTGTCCTCTCTGGGGGCCTCCTCCGTGGTTTCCTCTCGTGCCACTGGCCCCGGGGCCCCTCACCTCAGCCCGGCTCCTCCCTGCTCCAGGCCAGAACACTTCAAACCAAAGGAAAGGCTCGCCGCATTATTTCTGGAGCTTGTACGCAGACACGAGACACTCTGTAAACTGTTGAGTGCAGAAGGACGTTGGTGGACATGATACTTTCAGCCGTAGACTTAAAGGCGCACTGTGTAACTTTTCTGGAGGACAACCATCTTGTTTCCATGGAAATGCTATTGCTTTGCCTGGAATGTCTATTAAACTTATCTATCTCCCTGAAGACAAGTAGGTGTTGCAAATAGACCATGTTACAGGTCAGATCTTTGAAGAGGTGACCCCACTTAAAATAATAATGTATGATTTTTTTCAAGGCATTTTCAGCAATAAAAAATGGTAATCTAATACATGGAAGATGGATCACTTTAATGTCATACTGCAAACAATCAAAGTAAAGCAATAACAACTCTAAACACTATGACTAGAAAAGTGACATAGTGCATTTTTAACATTAAAAGGGTCCATGTTACGCTTTTATTCTGATCTGTGTTATAATGTTGTTCATCAGAAACAGACCTGGAGTTGTGTTTTGTTTCATTCACACATTTAACACACAAACCCAACATATTTAGGCTGAGTTCTAAACACTCATGCTTACGTCACAAACCAGGAAGGCATTTGGAAAGGTGATGACAATATGTTTTTGATCATTTTGTTGAATTTTGTTGTTCATTTTCTTGTATTTTGTGACTGTATTTGAACTCTGTCTTAGTTTTTTGTTCAAATTTGATTTACTATGTGTCAAACAGTCAAGTGTGTGTGGTTGTGTTGATTTTGTTGTTTTGATGTTTATTTGAATGTATGTAGCCTACTGTCTGCCCAACTGTATCTGTCTTTTGCCGTTGTAACTACGAGGAGCCCCTCGAAAACGAAATGGCGAGACATCTCAAGGGACTTATCCGCCAAACAAATTCAAACTTCTGGTGTAGTTCCCGACACTGAGCTCGTCGACCGACTGTGATAAAACCCACTGAAGTAAATGTGATCAGTGGTAAAATGAAGACTGCATATGTACGTGCTGTTTGGAATCATCTTGAATCTCTTCTAATCACATGTACCGAGTGCGCTCGGAGTTGTGTGTCAGTGGGGAAATGATGAAAACTGAGGTACGGTTGTAATTGTTGATTAGTCGAACACATGACATGAGATGAAGATGAAGAAAACTGGACCATTTTCAATTTTTTCCTAGATTTTGTCAGACTTACTACAGCAAACAGAGCCCGCTGGAAGTTGTCATTGCATGTTTCCAAACGTCTTCCTGGTTTGTGACGTAAGCGTGAACAGAGGCTATTCAGAAAGGAAATGACCCGGTGTGTTTTTAAACTCCGTACACCTTCATTAGAGTCATTTGGTTGATTTCAGCTCTGGAATTGCTAATCTCTACTTTGTTTTTGATAAGGTAACAAGAATCCATTTAATAATACAGAACCTTTAAGAGGAGGATTAAATATCAAAAGAAACTGGAAATCAAAACACCACTGCACAGGTAACATTTAAAAGACAAAAATGTATTAGAAAATGAATATATTTATTGTATAAGCAGCTCCTGAGCTCTAAATAAATGTACTGTTTGCATCCAGCTATAAAGTGTTTTCTTGTTGTGTTGTGTTGTGTTAAAGCTCTTACAAGTCATCGAGGTGAATAATGAGGACCCTCTGAATGCATAAAGTAAGTCAGGAAATGAAACTGAACTAATTGTGTTTTTAACATTTTTTCTAAGACAGTAAAAATCTGGTTCACGACCTTTAAGTCATTTGCCAAAAATATTAGCCTATGTTAATAATGTGTCCTAAAGGCATGAAATTCAGTCATTTCAGAGTTAAAAAATTAGGCCACATCTTTGAAAAGGTCAAATTTTGAATTCTATCCAGAAATAACAACTCGCTGCTTGTCACCATGGTGATATTATAGCTATATAAATAAAAAGTGCCATCATCATTTGTATAGGCCTATTATGTGGGTCTTATATGAACTACTGTATGTTTTTATGTATGTCGGTCTATTATGAGTCATTTAAATGTTTTTCCTGGGATACTTTTACTTTTACTTGAGTAATCTTTTTGCCCCTGGATCTGTACTTTTACTTAAATAACTTAACTGAGTACTTCATCCACCATTGCTAATTACTATTAATAGTAATATTCAGTTTTTTGTGTTTCTTTTTGCCCTAAGAATTGATTTTTTGCTGTGCTCAGTTTTGGATGTTGTACAGTTGTAAGTTGTGTAAAATGTGAAAACCTTACAGTACTACAAAGTATAACAAGTCTCTAAAACTTCAGATATGGCCAAAGCAGAGCCTGGAGACCAAGTGTTGTTACGACATCTTTATTAGTCATTGTGGTGTACATGACATATGGATGTTCAGGGATACATCTCGCTCTCTTGTGCTTGACTGACAGTTTCTGGTGACGGCTTTTACCAAAGTCAATTTGACTCTTACAGTTTCACAATATGTAGGTCACATACACACATACTTGAATAAGGTTATGGTCACCAGCCCCAAACAACGTACAAAAACAGACAAATACAAACACCAAAATCAGAATCATCACTTGAATTCAGTATGAAAAACAGAGTGAAGAAAGCACAGTTGTACGGTTGGTTCACATACTGCATTCTGCCCCCTCACAAACGCACCAGCCCCAGCCCTGATCACTTGGTTTATAAATTAATTTTCCTTTGTCTTAGCACCTGTTTCTCGTAAATGTTCAAGTCAAGATGCCACTATTCCTCAAATAAGAGCCCTCTGCCCGTCCCCCGCCTGAGGACCTGAGAGAGGACTGTGACCTGAGGAATAGGCCCTCTGCTGCTCCGGCCATGGTGAGCCTATCACGTGGAGGCGATGAGGAAGCCGGAGAAGGAGCAGTGGACGTTCTCGGCAGCAAAGACACCGTTGGCCTCCTCATCGGGAATCTGCAGGTACACGGTGTCCTGCTCGTCCAGCAGCAGCAGCACTGCCCGACATCTGGTCCAGGAAGCCCTTGTTGTACTCGTCGTAGCTGAAGAGGACAGGCTGGCCGTTCTTGTACAGGGCCACCAGGGCGTGAGCTCCGTTTACGTGGATGCTGTAGGAGAAGTAGTAGACGCCTGGGATTTGGCAGGTGAAGATTCCGGTCTCTGGGTCGTAGTGGTTCTCGGCGTTGTACACAATCTGGTCAAACTTGATGGGGCTGCCTGCAGCGGGGTAGGGGGTGGCCAGGGAGGCGGTGAAGGCAGACATGGGGGACTTGACCATAACCTCACTAACTCCCATACCCTTCTCAAAGACCACCTCTCCAGGAGGACCAGGAGGTCCAGGGGGACCAGCGGGGCCAGCGGCACCATCAGAACCAGGCTCACCAGGAAGGCCAGGGGGACCCTGAGGTCCTGGGACACCTTTAGCGGTCACACCAGCAGGGCCAGGAGCACCTGGGAGGCCAGGATGTCCCTTCAGGCCAGGAGCGCCAGCAGGTCCCTGGGGGCCAGCAGGTCCTCTCTCACCTGGAGCACCATCAGAACCAGCAGAACCGGGCTCACCAGCACGTCCTGGGTGTCCTTTGGGACCAGCAGGTCCAGGAATACCTGGGGAACCTGGGATTCCTGGGGCACCTGTATGTCCCTTCATTCCCTGAGGGCCAGTGGCTCCCTGAGCTCCAGGATTACCAGCTGGGCCGGGGTATCCCTGCTTGCCCTGAGGTCCCTGAGGTCCCTGATCTCCTTTGTTTCCTTTAACTCCCTGAGGTCCAGTAGCTCCGGTGTCTCCCTTAGCACCTACAGGGCCAGTCTGGCCTGGGAAACCACGAGGACCCTGAGGTCCAGCTGGGCCAGTGGCTCCAGTGGGACCAGTGGCACCTGTGTAACCGGTGGGACCTTGCTCACCCTTAGCACCTGGAGCTCCAGGGGCTCCGGTGGCTCCTCTCTCTCCCTTCTCTCCATTGGCACCGGGCTTTCCATAACCGGGCACTCCAGGAGCTCCAGTGGCTCCAGTAGGACCCTGGTGGCCTTTAGGGCCCATAGGACCTGGCAGACCGGGAGCACCATTCTCACCTGGTTTACCTGGCATACCTACACCTGGGGCACCAGTGTGGCCCTTAGGTCCCATTGGTCCCATTGGACCAGCGGCACCATCCCTGCCGGGGCTACCTCCCTTTCCTGGCTCACCGGGCATACCGGGCTTTCCTGGCTTTCCAACTCCTGCTTCACCTGGGGCTCCAGGAGGACCTGCAGGTCCCTCTGGTCCTGTCTCACCCTGAGGTCCGGGAATACCCACCCCCATGTCTCCTTTTTGACCTGGAAGTCCAGGGATACCGGGATGTCCTTTAAGACCAGGCTCTCCACGGGGTCCCATTGCTCCAGGAAGCCCAGCAGGTCCGGGTTTGCCAGTGGCAGAGAGTCCAGCGGGTCCGGGGGCTCCAGAAGGTCCAGGTGCTCCTCTGGGTCCCTGGGATCCAGGGGCTCCAGTGTCTCCTTTCTCACCAGGGGCTCCATCAGAGCCGGGTTTGCCAGGGCCACCTGGGGAGCCAGGTTTGCCAGCGATGGATCGTCCAGGGGCTCCGGGGGGTCCAGGAGGTCCCTGGGGGCCGGGCAGACCTTCAGCGCTCTCACCTGGGGGGCCGGGGGGACCAGCAGGGCCCTCAGGGCCAGGCTCACCTGGGGGTCCAGGCTCACCGACCACTGGCACCACTGAGGAGAGAGAAGGACAGAAGGTCAGGCTAAAGCAGCACCAGAGCCTCAGCAAAAGATTTTACTCTAACAGAGATAAATATAGAAAACTGACATCATCATGAAGTACTAACATCTACAGCACTCACTGATCACATGACCCCAGCTCAGTCACATGGTGTCAGTCACATGCTGAGGTCATGTGACTGAGGTCATGTGACTGCTGTTGTCACAGGCACAGCTGATGTCACATCTTTTAAAACATCCAAATGGTAAAATGGAACATGTACTTAAGAGCTGGAAACTAGGTTAGGAACATTCTATTATGTGAAAACTCACAAAGACAAATAAGTTTCATTTTTTCACTAAGCTGCATCTGACTCTGACTCTGAGCTGTGAGGACTGTGCACAGTGTGTGTGTGTGTGTGTTGTGATGTGAGCAGAGCCTGTGGTTCACACTCTGCAGAGCTGTGACTGTCCCACAGAACAGGTAGTGGCCCTGGGGACTTGGTGCCAGTGCAGCTGCAGGCGCTGCCTTCATGTGGGCACTGAGCACCAGAGCCACACATGGTTGTACTTGGAGCAGAGGCACACCCAAACTAACCACACCGCTGTGCCTGTAATTGTCACACTAAAAATACTGCTGTGTACTTTCTACGGCAGAAATAACAAGAGCTCACATTTATATTTCAAATGATCCACACTGCGCTTAGGCACTTACACCACTAATTTAACGCCTTTGTGCTCTTGAGCCCAACATGACAGCTCTGAACCTACAGACTTCATGAATTCAGTCTGACAGAAAACTGTAGTGTTAAAGTATTACAATCTGAGGGAATCAAAATCTTCAGTGCTCATAAATCAAACAATGCAACAAAAACACAAAAGCACAGATTTAACAAACACAAATGGAAATTATGTTTATGACATATTTTTTTTTCCCCTCGAATATAAAAATCTCTCAGAATGGATTAAAAAATGTAATGTTCCTATTTCCTACAGTATATCTTTTCATTCACAACATTAGCTCTGTGTTTCAGTTCTGCAAAATACTTTATAATAATATATTTTACGACACATCTTGGAAGCCATTTTTCTTTCTCTGATGACAAAAACATTTTCGAGACAGCTGGTCGTAAACTCAGCCAAAATTACATGTGATAAACCCTTTGAAGCAATTTGTAGAGTTATTGCACGCTGTGGTTAGAACGTGCTGTGATTGGAGGAGAGCCCAGACGCTGCAGCCAATCAGGGAGCAGGAGGGCGGGGTTTAAAGCTCAAAATAAAAAGCACCAATGAGGAGCCAATCTGGACTTTTGTTGACACTTTTTCCAAACACACATGGACTAGATCACTGCAAAAAGGCATATTTAGAGACTTTTTTGAATTGAGAATTTTTGATTTGGGTAGTTTTGAAATAACAAAGAAAGAAAACACAATTTCAAAACTACTCAAGTCAAAATTTCTAACCCCTTTTTCAAATTTAGTGAGAAATACATTTTGCATTTTGTTTTTCAAAAAGTAAAAAAATTCTGCATATTTTCACGTTGAGAAAATCTTAATTTTTTAATTTTTTGTTGAAAATTCCAAAATTCCAAAAACCATAACAGAATATATATACTTTTTGCAGTAATTCATTCATTATAACATATTTCCATCGAAGTGCTGAATACAATAATCTATGTACTACCTAGTAGGGGAGTCGACAGGAAGGGGGGCAAAGGGGTCTGTTGTCTGGGGCCCCAGGGTTTTAGGGGCCCAGAATTGTAACCTCTGCCAATTAATGAATATTAAAAGGGGGCCCATGTGAGTCTTCTCGCCCTGAGTCCCCAAATTTCTGTCGATATGCCTGCTTCCTAGTAAAATGTAGCCCAAATTTTCCTTAAAAAAAGTAAAAATTGTGCGTTTTTTGTGTGTTTTTTTTTTCTCACCTTGGCTTTTGACGGAGTATGGCTGGTACTGGGGGGCAGCCTTCACCACCTTCTTCACCACGTATCCTTTCCCATGAGCTGCAGTCAGGGTCCCCAGGAGGAGGAGGATGCAAGCCACGCGGAGGTCCATCATCTTTGGTCCAACCTGCACAAGACCAAAGAAGTTAGAAAAATCTAAAAATGAGATGTACAGATTTCAAAAAGCAATGGTGCAAAGTAAGTTATGTAAGCAGAGAAGTTTTGTTGTTGTAGATATAAGTAACTAAGCAAGCCAGGCAAGATAGAGTGGCAAGTGTATCTAGTGTCTCGGGTTATAAGTGTAAATAAAATGTTCTAAAATGTTTCCAGAATAAATCAAATTCTTCAAAACAAACAGTAAAATAGAAAAAATAAATAGCAAAAACATGCATTTTTGGAAAGCTCTATCAAAAAAGAAAGTAAATGTAAAAAAATAATAATAATAATAAAAATAAATTCTACAAAATTTTTAAGATGCCCAGATGCATTTTCAGCATTTTCCACGTAAAAAAACCCAAAATGAAATTAAAAAACACGCAAATAAAACAACCCCACAAAACAATGCAATTTCAACTCTCAATTTCAGTGCAAAACTTCGCAGACAGTTTTAAAATCTCTCTAAATGTTGCATATAATCCTCCATGGACCAGCGCAAAGGCACGTACCGGCATCCGAAGGCAAAAAGCGCGTGAGTCTGCACCAGTGGCTCCCGGTGCTGCTGTGTAATCCTTTGGGCAGGAGCACAAGAGAGGAGATGCTGCCTCTGCTCCTGTGACCTGCCCTTTTATACTATATCTGCCCCTCACATCACTGAAAAAAAAAAGGAAAAAAAAAAAACTCCCTGCCGCACTGGGCCCCTCCCTCTTCCAGCACAGTTGTAATTAGCAACAGTTCTACCCAAAACGGGCACGTCACCGGGAGCAACATCTAGACATGTCATTATCACTTATTTCACTTTTTCGCATAGGGATAACTCAACGCAAATAAAGCATAACTCTCGGAAATTGAGATTAAACATCCTAGATTATGCAAAAATGACTTTAGTGAGCTTTTAGTCATGTTAGAATGCTGTTAAGACATCAGAAACATACCTGGAGTTGTGTTTTGTTTCGTTCATGCATGTTTGAGCAACCCTGCGTTATTAGTCTTTCTATATTTTTCAAAGCTCAGAATGCTGCTTTCCACCTTATGATGTCACGAAGAGGTAGTTTTTGAGTTAACAGCGATGTTTAGTTTGGTAGAAATTGGGCAAAAACACAACGGAGCACTTCCTGTATTACCACGTGACATCGCAAGTTGAAATAGAGCGTTTTTTGTTTGAGAGAAGAGCAAAATCAGAACTAAAAATGCAAGATTTGTGCGTTAAAAATGTGTGAATGAAACAAAACACAACTCCAGGTATGTTTTTGATGAGGAAACTTTAAAACAGAGATCAGAAAATAGGCTCTTTAAATAATCCCTGGACGCTCGGTGTGTTTACATGTTGGTTAAATGCGAGTGTGTCTGGAATAGAGGGAGCAGGGCTATAAAAAAAAAAACCTGAGTTTACAGTGGCACCTGCGGAGCACAGAGCCACCATTGAGGGTCCAGACTCATCCTCTTCCAGTCTGTACCGGTCTGCATGTACGGGACAGTGGAGACAGGAGAGAGGCGAGAGAGAGGGGCCCGGGGACACTGGGGCCAGTCTGGAGCTGACCGTCTGGGCACCTCCGCTGGGTAAACAAACTCGGGGGACTGGGGTGCTGATAGGACCGCTGAGAAAGAAGAAGAAAGATTGTAATTTGATTAAAGGGCCCGTATTATGCAATTTTATGACATGTTTAACAGAAATCCTGCATATTTAGACCGAGTTCTTCTCTCAAACTGAAAACAAAAAAGTACAGGAAGTGCACAATGGAAAAAAAACAATATCTAGGTAAATTAAAATGACTTAAATTAAGAATATTTGACTTTATTTCAGGAGATTCAACTTGACAAGTCAAATTATCCGCCAATGTTTTTCTTAATTTAAGCAACATTCGAAACAAAACACAACTCCAGGTATGTTTTTGATAAAGAAACATTCAAACATTCGATTTAGTTTCTTATTTTAAGTGCAAAAAGTTGTTGTTTTTCTTATTTTATGTGTAGCAAGATGCATTTTTATATTACTTTTACTCGTCAAGTGAAATTGACTAAAATCATGACAAAACTTTGTTAATTCATGTAATCTTAACTTGACTAGATTCTGTTTATGGAATGTTCCATTGTGTTTTTAAACTCCATACACCTTCATTAAAATCTTTTGGATAATTTCAGCCCTGGAATTGTCAATCTCTACTGAACTAAGTAAAGTAAAAGGTAGATTTTAACTTGAAAACTACCACTTTATGACACAAGGTAGAAAAGAAAAGAGCATTTTGATCTTTGGAGATGTACAAACACTAATAATAAATGAAACAAAACACTATTCTGGGTCTATTTTGGATGAGGTAACAGCATTATAACATGAATTTTGCACAAGACATTTTTGCAACATAACTCATGTCGTATGTACACTTCAAGTCCTCTACATGTCTGCGGTGAAGCTGAAATACATCAGCATTACGCAAGATTCCATGGAAACACAGTGTTAAAACCACAGTTCACAGAGATAAATGCATTTATTCTATACTGTGGGAGATTTCAACCGAAGAACAACATTTCCATGGAAACAAGCAGGAAGAGGCCCTCGCCCAGGACAAATAAGAGTCAGGTTTTTGGGAATGCATATAATGTATACTCAGATTTTTATAATCATCATAAGAAAATGTAAGAAATACGAAATCTATGTGGCAATATGACTTACATCCCTTTTTTAACAGGATTTATTAGTTCAATTTTGCAATTTTATGAAGCATGTTTATCTAATAGTACAGAATCAAGTGTAGAGACCAGAGGTGGGACCAAGTTGTTGTTTTGCAAGTCTCAAGTCTTTGACCTCAAGTCCAAGTCAAGTCCCAAGTCAAAGATAGCCAAGTCCAAGTCGAGTCTCGAGTTACTGGCCCATAAGTCCAAGTCAAGTCCAAGTCGCCTGCTTTGAGCTTCAAGTCATTTCAAGTCTTTAAACCAAAGAACCAAATGTAGGTTAGATTTTTGCAATTTATATGAATTTTAAGATAAATTGTACTTTAAAAATTATAGTATATTTATATATGAGTATTTATAGACTATATAAGGCTGTAGAAATGTTATTTTTTTCCTTTTTAAATGTCATGACAAGGTCTTAGAGTGAATCGTTACCGTCAGAATAGAAAGATTTCAGATTTAAAATTGCTCCTTAAGTCACAGACCTCAAGTCCCAAGTCATTGACCTTCAAGTCCAAGTCGAGTCCCAAGACTTAATCGATTGTATCAAGTCTCAGGTCCTAAAAATTGTGACTCAAGTCTGACCCAGAGACAGAATAAAAACGGAATTGTACTGTTTAATTTATTTCTGTGATGATTCAAACTAGCTGTTTAACTTTCTGGTTTAACTTGGTTTTTATGAGTTTAATGTCTCTGGAAATTGTCCCTTCTAATAAAAACAAAAGTAAATCAGACAATTGTGATTTGCAGTGCTGGATTTGTTGAGAAAGGTGCATAAAACGAGACAAAAAAACAAAAACAATTCTTATTTTTATTTGTCTGAACCTATAAATGTCCCTATAAACCTATATAGTGTCTGTTGTGTAGTGACATTAGTATTAGACGCACACAGGTGACGACACACACACACACACACACACACAGAGCCCACATGTATGCGCAGGTTTATTTACCAGTGGGCTCTCCCTCTCCACGCTCCGGGGCCCGCAGGATAAACAGGACCTGGCCTGGCTCTGGGTCACTATTTCAGGAAGAACATTTACCCTGCCTCTATTTGGGCTGAGTTTCCTTTTCAAACTCCTAATAAATCTATTTAAGGAGCCAGTGGGAACGCCGCTTGTTGTTTCAGTGCAGCCAGTGTGAGAAAACGGGCCCGGAGCCACACGCGCACTACCGCCGAACCGCCACCAGAGGGCGCGTTTTACTGTCAAAACCCCCATGTGCTCGGCTGGTCTACGCTTGTGGGTACTGCCTTATTTCTGTCCCATGTACTTTGAGAGGTTTTGGGCAACACTCCTACAATTACTGCAAACTTCGACTATTATTATCCATTAACCTAATCAGTGTTACGTTAACGGCTACGGTAACTGCTATCTTCACTTATTCACTCACTCACCACCCTTCTTTTTACTTTTTTTTTTTTTTTTTTGACTATAATTTCTCCAGCTTGGCCACATAGGAAATGCATACACCCAAATAATCACATGTTCTCCAGCACACGAGTATTTTAGCTGTAAACGATGTGTGTAGGGCCGGTTTCCACGGATACCCACTGATGCCCATTTATGGCAAGAGGGCCACTTCCTGTGTTCTGCAAGTCAAAAACGTGAGCTTGTTATCTTGTAAAAGGTGCATTGTGTAGCTTTTCTGTCAAACTTTCCCCCGCGCAGGTGTTATTGCTCTGTCTGGAATGTTTCGCAGTGCGGCATTAAACTTTTGTATTGTCATGGAGACCTAACAAGATTAAGTTACAGGTCAGATCTGCGGTGAGGCGACCCAGCTCACGGACAGACGCCTGGTTTTTGAGGTATTTTTGAGCTGTAAAACCACCTGTCATTAAATAAATGTAAAGTAGAGCTGTTTAAAGTCATACTGTGGAACATTCCAGGCAGATCAGTGACATATTCTCTTTCTTTTTTGTTCATAAACAGCCCTGATTGTATTTATAGCCTATCTTGTGAAGAAAAAAAGAAAGATAAATACACTGCAAAAAAACTAAATCTAGTTAAGTTAAGATGAGCAAGTTTTGTCGTGATTTGAGTAAATTTCTCTTGACAAGTTAAATGATCTGCCAGTGGAATAAGACTTTTTGTACTTGTAAAACACAGCTGGCTACACTTAAAATAACAAGTTTTTGCACTTAAAAGAAAAAGAAACAAAATCGAATGTTCGATCAAAGTCACACTTTTTGGGGGAAATTTATTTTATAAAATCAGAGACCAGGAACCGACATTTCATCTTGAAAGTCAAGTTCTAGTACAAACAACAGAACAGAGAGCAACAGACTGTTAACGTCAAATATGAACAGTTTTTCAGATAATAATAACATAAACAACAGAACAGAACAAGTTTACCAAACTCTCCATCTCACTCCAAATCACTAAATCCATACAATTCTTCATCCTCAGTGTCACTTCTGAGCAAATCCCTGACCTTCGGAGGTAAACGGAGCACCACTTCCTCTTCTGTGTAGCTGTTGTCAGGCTCAGCATTAGTTCCACTTAGAATTATTCCGACCTTTCTCAATCCCGACAGGATGGTTTCGGTTATCACTGAAGTCCAGGCTTTGTCGATCCATCTTCCAGGAAAGTTACATGTTGCCCCCGCCTGGTTACCATGAAGCTGTGTTCTCCATCCTCACTTTCTGCCAGTTCCCTCACAAGTTTCTCGCTCACTCCAAATGTCTTTCTGCTGCTTGATTACCGTTTTCGGCTGAATATTTCACTACTACCAGCAGGACAGCGGCTCTTTTTGCAGGAGACATGCACAGAAAAATGACACACAAGCCTAGAGCCTCTAGTGGCTGTCATTCTGAAAATTTTAATATATAAGTCCCACCGGAGTATAAGATGCAGGACCACCCAAACCATGAAAAAAAATGGTTATAGTTTGAAAAATACAGTAGATAATTTTTCTTG